TTCTTTGAAATAACTTGTATTCTCAGGGAACCGCTAAGCAGGTTTGGAAACCAACTTTTGGGGATTAACACTCCGACGTTAATTACTTCTTTTGAAAGATGTTTATGTATTTATCTTTTGAACATGTAACAAATACAACTATGTAAACATTTTGAAACCCTAATATGTATGGTGGTGTGTACTTTCCTTACTATGAACTGTTATGATACTGAATATGACGTCCTCCGCCCCCGAACGTTTCCGCCGTTCTGGTTTGGGGGTGTGACAATGCAGAAGCATCAGTGATTTGAATGGAAATAGTTCGAAGTACTTTCCAGACCTAAGAAACATGACAGGCATGGAGCTACTGTAAGTCAATATACAAATTAGAAATCTACTAAAAAGTTGATAAATTTCAAGATTGGATTTTTATATCTTCAACGACTTTGGGAAAAATTGCAGGATATTCAGAAGTTGTAGACTAACTGGCAGAATTCCATATTTTTTATCAGAAATGTTAAAACTGAGGCATTTGTAATTATTCTCCCTCTTCCATTTCTTGATTGACTGAAAGCCTTTTTTAGACTATATCCATTAGCATCATCTTGAGCATTTCATTGTGATTATCTTTAGTGGTTGTTCAAACATCCTGATATACTCTTCATCTATATTCACACACAGAGACCTCAGTTTCAACAATTTGGAGGGAGATATACCAGATTTGAAAGAACTAGATCTGGATAAAATGTAAGTACGATGAGCATTTTACCTTTTTCTGGCCATGTATCATTCGCTTCAACTAATTTTCTTACTTAAATATTTGTCTTGATAACTTGATCCTCAATATTCATACCAATATATAATATATATATTTCATCCGTAAGAATACGGTTCAACAAAATATAGATAAGTTTATATTGTTCCTTGCATATTTAATGAAATAAATACTCGAGTGATTATTGAAAAGGAAAGTAAAATAAAAGAGAGCATTATAAATCCCAATAATTATTTTGTGAAATGATTAGGTACTTGACTAGCAACTCCCTGAACGGAAGTATTCCTGCATGGATCAATAGTGGTGATACTGCACAGTACGTTTTCAGTTTTCCTTTTCTCATTTCAGAAATAGTTTTCATGTGACATAATTTGGTGTGCTAGATGCATGGTTGTAGTCTTGGTAATATATGTACAATCTATAATTTTTACCTGAAAATGTACTTCTTAATATGTAATTTTACTCGCAATAGTTATATAATTCATGAACGCTGATATGTGATTGTGATTATGATTCAGCGAGATTGATCTTTCCTACAACAAATTCAAAGAAGAAAGTGTGCCCCCATATTGTTGTGAAAATCTGTAATTTTTAATCTTCCAAATCATCCATTGATTCTTATCCTGTCCATATAATATTCTAAAGATAAAGCTTATTTCATCTTTGATTTATTAGGAACTTATTCAGAAGCTACGCTGCTGCAAGCAACTCGTAAGCTTGTTATACCCATATATAGGTTATTTAGAAAGAATTTTCTTTTCTAAATTTCATGGCATAAGAACCAAGTTTAATATTCCGATCTGTGATTGAATGCAGAGAGCTTGGGAAGTGCCTTAGCCGGTTTCCCTGTCTAAAGGGTGAGGAAGATACTTTCCTAAGATGTTTCATTCCAATTAATTAATTAATTTGAAAATGAAAACCAAAGTTTAGTGATTTTTATGTTTTTTGTTTTCTAGCGCACTAATCAATTCACATTAATTGCAGGGGACCAAAAGTGACCATTGGAAACTTGACATATGAATCTGATCAGGATCAGGTGGAG